CTGGCCTGTAGCGACTTCTTAGGTAGTCCTTTTTTTTTTGTTTGTTTTTTTGAGAGACAGAGTCTTGTTCTGTTGCCCAGGCTGGAGTGCAGTGGCATCATCATAACTCACTGCAGACTCCTTGGCTCAAGTGATCCTTCTGCCTTAGCCTCCAAAGTAGCTGGGACTATAGCCACACACCACCATGCCTGGCTAATTTTTCTTATTTTTTGTAAAGTTGAAGTCTTGCTATGTTGCCCAGGCTGGTCTCAAACTCCTGGCCTCAAACAGTCCTCCCATCTCAGCCTCCCAAGTTGCTGGGATTATAGGCATGAGCCACTGTGTCCAATTCTTAGGTAGCCTTAAGGACACAGTGATGGTTTTATATGTATGGTAAACAGGTGGCCCACAATCCTTTTTCAAGTGTTAACCTTTTGCATTTACAGTAAGGATGCTTGCAAATATTTGTGAGACTCCTGGTTTTTTTTGGAACTACTGCTATTTTAATTTTTTTTTTTACTTGATTTTAATGTGGACTGTCTTCTAACCTCTTTCTACCATAAGGGATATAGAAAAGGTAACTAACTACCAAGACCAAGTCCCTAGAACTGAGCACTATAAGTAAAGGAACAATGGAGTCTTCCATGGCGATCATGATTTATTTATACTAGAATGGATTTAGTATCCCTAGGTGGTGGTACTAACTGGCTGTCTAATCTTGGGCAAGCCTTTCCTTATTTCTTATTATAGGGGTGGGTCGAGATTAGTGGTTTTAAATTAATAAACTCCTCTGTCCTTCTCCAAAAGAAAAAAAAAAAGATGAGTAGTTTTCCACCCCTGGTTTCACATTAAAATCAGCTGAGGAGATTTAAAAATATGCTCAAATCAGGATCTTGGGGAGTGGGGGAATATTTTTTAAAGCTCTCCACAACTCAGCTTACATCACAATCACCTGGAAGGCTTTTTTTTTTTTTTGAGACAGTCTCACTTTGTTGCCTGGGCTAGAGTGCCGTGGCATCAGCCTAGCTCACAGCAACCTCAAACTCCTGGGCTCAAGTGATCCTTCTACCTCAGACTCCTGAGTAGCTGGGACTACAGATGTGTGCCACCATGCCCAGCCAATTTATATATATATACACACACACACACACATATATATATATTTTTAGTTGTCCAGCTAATTTATTTTTATTTTTATTTTTTTAGTAGAGACGGGGGGGGGGGGGTCTCACTCTTGCTCAGGCTGGTCTCGAACTCCTGAGCTCAAACCATCCTCCTGCCTCAGCCTCCCAGAGTATTAAGATTACAGGCGTGAGCCACCGTGCCCAGCATGGAAGTCTTCTTAAAACAGATCCTTAGGCCGTGCCTAGGAGTTTCTGACTCACAGGTCTACAGTGGGCCTCAGAATGTGCATTTCTAACAGTTTCCAGCTGACACCGATGCTGCTGATCTGGAGAACACACTTTGAGAATCACTGCTCTAAATTCCTTCCTAGCTCTAAAATTTTAGGATTCTAACATAAATTTCTGCTTTGGTGACATTATCACTCTTGTATATTTCTCATTAGGTAATTATGCATTTCTCTCCCTCCCCCATTTTCAGGGCTGGGTGAGTTTGTCTTGTCTTCTCAGTAAGTGTCACTTAGATCAGTGATGCACAGCTATGGTTGCACATTGGAATCACTTGAGAAACTTCTAGTAGGAAGAAACCTGCTGCCTTGGCCCAATGCCAGGTGAACTAAATCAGACCTTTTCCGGTTAGGACTCAGGGATCAGTAATTTTTCAAGCTCTCTCACATGATTCCAGTGTGAGTCAAAGCCGAGAGTCACTTCACAGGAGAAGGCTGACTGAGTAGATTTCGAAATGGGGCAACTGTTCATGTCAAGACACTTCCATGAATTTAAAATCTTAAGTTCTACATTGTATATACATTTTCTAGATACAGCTCACAGCCCAGATAAAAGTTGCCTTATTTTGGCTTCTCTATATGCCTCTCTTCAGGCTATCTGCTGAGAGTGGGTAACAGTAGCTGAAAGTTTCTAATGAGATTTATCCACCGTGGTGGAAAGCAATAAGATCAGAGCAAACACCAACACACAAGCAAAAACTAAAGTATTTTACATCCTGGGCCGTAACAGCAGCTGACATTTTTCTTCCACAGGCTTGTTTTCTGAGCCATTTCTTTATGTTCTTGTGGTAACTTCTCAGTGGATTAAACAGAGCATTCAGGTCTCTGAGGACTCCTGTCAGTTCCTCATTCCCAACCAACCATGACTAGACTGTTAAAAAAGGGAATATTCATCACCCACATGGATGGCTGATAATTTGAGATTTTTTTTTAGTTTTTTTTTTATTGTGGTAAATTATACAAAACATAAAGCTTACCATCATAACCATTTTTAAGTGTACAGTTTGGTGGCATTAAGAACATTCACATTGTTGTGCCACCATCCATCCCCAGAATTTTTTCATAATCCCAAACTGAAACTCTGTATCCATGAACAATAAATAACTCCACATATTCCCCTTCCCTTCATCCCCTGGTAACCACTATTCTACTGTCTGTGGATTTGCCTATTGTACATGCCTCATCTAAGTGGAATCACACAGTGCTTGCCCTTTTGTGTCTGGCTTATTTCATTTGGCATAATGTCTTCAAGGTTCATCTAGGGATTATTTTTGATCAAATATATTCGTGTCACAATTAAATTAGGCCCATAAAGGTGTCAGTCTCATTTCAGTTATATAAACACACAGGTGATGGAGAGGGCATCTATTTCCCCAGTGCGTCAGGGAGTCCTGGGGGCTGGCTGAGCTGGCTGCGTTTGGTCCTGCTCTTGGCAGCCGCACCCTCCTCATTGCTCAGTCCGGAGACTCCGGTGTCATTGTGATTCTTCCCTCTTCCTCACCCTGACAGCCGATTACCCAATAAATCTTATTGATTCTACCTCTCAAAAATCTCCCTAAGGCCTCCTTTTTTATCACTGAGCAAGCCTCAATTTCGGCCTTCATTCTTGCTTGGATCAGTATCAGAGCCTCTGAACCCGTCTCCCTGGTTAGCTGCCATCAGTCATTTCATTCATTAATTCACCAAATGTATTGCATGAACATTTCTTGTCTGGCATTGAGCCGACCTCTTAAATCACAAAGTCTCTGCGTAGCCACTTGAGCCATCCGTCTCAAACAAATCTGATTTTACCCAAGTGTGTCTGACTCCAGCCTCCCACTTTCCCTAGTCCACCCACTGCCTCCCAATAAGGATGGAAGAAAGCTTCAAAACTCTTGGCAGGTTAAATCAAGGGCTCAAAACAACACGATGAAATTTAAGAGTAATACAGAGTCCTACATCTAAATTTATAAAAATAGGTTACATATAGAACTGGGAAAATCTGGTTTTGTAGTCGTGCATATGAAAAAAAAAAAAAAGACCCTGGAATTTTATCAACCAAGCTTGAGATGGGTTAGCAGTGTGATGAGACTCATGATAGCTATCCACATTTTAGAGACTGTACTAATGAAAAAAATATGTCCCGATTACAGGCCAGAGTAGCCCCTATTCTTTGGGCTGCTCATTGTCCTCAGCTCTATCAGCTGCATTCTCTGAAGAATATTAACAAACTAGAGGGCGTGTGGCTGGGGGTTCTGGGGGCCGAGAGCTGGCCCTTGGCTGTACTTGGGGAATACGTAGAAAATACAGATTCCTGGGATCCACCTCTGGATGTTCTCAAGTGATTCTAATGCAGGTCTTAGGTTGGGTACCCCTGATCTGCAGGACAGCAGCAGCGTGGTGGAGAAGAGGTTGAAGGAAGTGGGTGTTTAGCCTAGAGAGAAAGGACGGTGCTCCTTTCTCATAGGTCATAGGTGTTTCCAGTATCTGAAGGACTGTCATTTGTCAGTGGGGATGGCAGAATGAGGGGAAGGTATAGAGTCCAGGAAACTTAAGATTCCAGGGAGCTTTCAGTGATGCCGATGCTGCTGGTCTGTGGACCGCACTTCAGCAGAAGGCCGCGGTCGGTGGGGGCGCTGGGCCTGCTTGGCCAGATGACTCAGATAATCTCTCAGGTCAGAAAGGGTAGTCAGCGAAGTTAATATATGAAGATGGAGAAAGCATCGACCAAAACTACACTTGGGCCCTTCAGAACTTTTGGTGTGGGACATGCTTTAATTAGTAGAGTTCAATTCCTCCATTTCTCTAGAAACTCGGCATTAGAGATGAGCGGTCAAGGGCATGAGATTTAGAATCAGATGCACTTGGTTGTGTGCCTTACTCTAACCATTACTAGGAGTATGAAGCTATAAGGACCCACCTGAGCCTCATTTCCTCGTCTCTGTAGCCCTTCTCTGGGCTAATGAGTATTTAACGTGTTACTGTATGTAAAGTGCCTAGTGTAGACATCTGCTGTCAATTATGACTTTGATTAACTTATGCATTTAAACAAGCACCAACTCAGCATGGTTACTGCTCCTACTCCTCCCGTGTTCTTGGAAGATTCTTGGGAGCTCTTGAACATCATGGCACATGATGGTGAGTTCTCAGGGGCCAGGCACGCTCCCCAGATTTCTGTAGGATCACTGGAAATACTTTGTGTGTGTGTGTCTCATGTCTTGACTATTGGCATTGTCTAACCTTCATGCTCCCAAATTGGGAGGTAAATATTTTCTCTACTTATTTCAACCCAAATTATCAACTAATATAATTTGATTCTCTGGACTCATAGCCACTTTTTCAATTTAGATGTTATAAAATGGAGTGGGTGTCTGTTGGGTGTCTGCCCAGCATCCCTTCCTGTTTCTCTCCTACAGAACTCCAATTGTTTTTCCTTCAGCTATTTGTACCTACAAATATGCCTTAGTGTCTTGGGGAAGCCAACCAACCCGTAGCTCCAGGTGGGCGTGACTAGTTTAAAAGTTTCCGGTTCTTTCTCCCAGAGATTGGCCCAGGGATTGGCATGGAGGGAAGTGTGGTGAGGGGTGGTTCTGGGAGTCATTTCCTTTCCCCAGGGAAAAGCCAAAAAATTTACCTCTTTCTTCCTCTGGGTCTCAGTGTGTGCAGATGTGCCTCTGGGATCTTCGGGGCCTTGCTATGGCCCACGGGAGGATGGAGCTGACGCTGAGATGGTAGAACAGGATGAAGGATCTGGCTCCTCCATCATTTCATCGAGCTACCACTGTCCTGAAACTGTACCTCTGGGCCTCATGCTGTGTGAGATAAGGAATTTCTTAAATGTTTAAGCCATTTTTAGTTGTGTTTTCTGTTACTTTTGCTAAAAGTATCATTACTAATACTAGTGTCTCTTTGCTTTCAACAGTACATCCTGAAAGCAGTAGGAGAATTAAAAAATATTCCATAACCACAATGAATTGGGAAAGAAATTTTCTCATCCTTTAAGAAGGAATTTATTTTTATTTTATTTTATTTATTTATTTTGAGACTGAGTCTCACTTTGTTGCCCAGGCTAGAGTGAGTGCCGTGGTGTCAGCCTAGCTCATAGCAACCTCAAACTCCTGGGCTCAAGCGATCCTCCTGCCTCAGCCTCCCAAGTAGCTGGGACTACAGGCCTGTGCCACCATGCCTGGCTAATTTTTTCTATATATATATTTAGTTGGCCAATTAATTTCTATTTTTAGTAAAGACGGGGTCTCGCTCAGGCTGGTTTCGAACTCCTGACCTTGAGCAATCCGCCCGCCTCGGCCTCCCAGAGTGCTAGGATTACAAGGAATTTCTTTTTAAAGGGTTCTTCAAAAGCCATTGTTAGGAATCTAACTCTAAAACCCTTCTTGATATAAGAACAATCCTCATACCTGTATTATGCTTAATATGTTTAACATTTGACTATGACCCACGGATTTGTAATCCCCATGCATTTGAGAGGGAGGCTTGATATGCTTATTATGCCTTTATTATCTATTATCTATAATTTTTGTGGATTTTTGAGGTGGGGTCTCACTATGTTGTCCAGGATGGTCTCCTGGGCTCAAATGATCCTCCCTGCCTCAGCCTCCCAAGTAGCTGGGACTACGGGTGTGGACGACTACACCTGGCCCTATCTATATTTTTTGGAGAGGTGATGAGTAAAGTTATTAATAATGAGCATAACATAATTGGGGACACACCAATTCACAGAAAAATGATACACTTCAGGATTATTTTAGTCTCTTGGTGAATTCTTCTTTTTTTCCTTTTCTGCTTCTTTCCTCTCTTCCTTCATCCATACATTCTACATAAACATTTTGGGATAAAATTGGAGAATATTTAAAAATACTTGGAAATTCAGGATCAGTTCTAAGATTGAATATGTTAATGCTTGAATATCTTCCCTTCCACCTTTTACCCATGCAGGGCAGCAGAGACGTGGGCAGGGAGGTACCCGGCATTCTGGAGGGTGCTCACCATTCAGACCCTTACTGTGTTCACAACTTTATCCTGTGGCCAGTACAGCCCAGGCAGCTACCTTGACTCTTTATTTCTTAGTGGACGATTTTCTCTCTTGTAATCGTCCAGGTCAGGCTTAATGCAATCTAGGGCCATACGTAAGTCTCTCTCTGTAAGTCTCCAAGGCAGTCATGATAACTGATAGTATAATGAATGAAAGAAAGGGCTGGGGGTGTGGGATGTGAAGTGACCTTTGGGTACAATGCACGCTGTTCAGGTGACGGGTACACTAGAAGCCTAGACTTCTCCACTATACAGTTCATGTAACAAAAAACTATTTGTACCACCTAAATCTATTAAAATAAAATTTAAAAAAAAGCCTATATTAGTGTGTGTTCCACCTCTTGAGAGCTGTCTGAGGGATTAATTTGTGGATTATCACTGCGGGAACTTCAGTGAAGCTGCTTCTGAAATTGCACTGTGAGATAGATCCTGAGCCATTCGGTTAGGGACTCCTGCGTGTGGGAGGGTCACCTCCTGGCTAGTCTCCCCACAGTCCTGTGTCCCACCCCTCTCCTGCCCTCCGATGCTCTTGCAGACCCTCGACCTTCCTTAAAAATGTTTTTTGATCATGCCACTCTCCTTTGCTTAAATACTTTTGTTGGCTCCCTGTCACTTAAGGGTAAAATTTCAATGTCTTTCCTTGGCAAACTTGAGTGTTTTGTGCTAGCTTAAACTTAAAAAATTTTTTTTAGAAAATCAAATAATGCCTATAAATGGTTAAAAACAGAGTAAAGAGGCTCACAGCAGACCCTTGATCCACCTTTCTCATCCATCGCTTATCTACAGAGGCAACAGTTTTTGACCATTTCTATATTTTGTCCTTTTGGTGATTCTCATACCCCTATGTAAATGCTTATATTAATATGTCATTGCTTTTCAACTTTAGGAATTTAATTCTTTAATTCTACTTAGTTCTTGCTACAATAAATCAAAATTTTAGGTCAATGACACAGCCAGACCCATTTCGTCTCCCTTTCCCCCTCAATATAGTTATATGACCTCAGATTCATGATCTTTTATTTACAGTTTTAAAATGCAAAAAGCTATGAAATTTGAAAGCTTTTTTTTTGGTGGTGGCGAGGTTAAGTTTGAGGCCAAACCCCATTTGGTGTCAAATTCAATCTCTAAACCATCTCATTTGTGGTTGATTATAATAAAGCGTCTACCGGGGCAAGTACCTTTGGGAACAAGTGGCTGCAGCACTTGATCATGGTGTCAGTGATGGTGATAACAAGGGACGATCGCCTGGGATGGATTCTTCTGGGTGCCTCGGAACACTTGGAGAAGGAAAATGACACGCTTCTATGTTTACATTCTTGACTTTAGTCACAGAGAACCAGAGAGCTTCTATGGCAGCCCTAAAATAATCTATTTCTTACAGTTACAGACCCGATCTTGCTGAAGATGAAATACAAAGTTTAACTGAATTCACAGCCTTGCCACGTCTCTCTTGTGGGAGTCAGGACATTGACTGAGAAGGAATGGGACCTTAAGATGTGGAATTGGGGCATCTCATACGCTCAGAGGAAGCTGAGAATCCGAGTCCCTAAGTCACTGCGAGCATCCCTTGGTGGAAGCAGGCTACTGCTCTGCAGACTAGCTTTTCTCAATACTGGAGACTGTAATAATCTTACTTGGGGCAGGAGAGTTGCCAGACTGCAGCCGAAGAGAGAAAGGGTGCCAGGTGCTGATATGTACTCCATCCCCACTTAACTTGCCTGTTTGCCTTTGCTGAAAGCAGAAGAATCCAGAAGAAGGACCATGGATCGTTATAACTCTCCAATTTTACCTGCTCTTCCAGGTATATAGTACATATACTGGAGCAATCAATACAGTTCCTGGCATCTGCTATGCAGATAGTGACCTAGAAAATGCCTTTTTCTCTTTATCAATTTTCAAGTATCACCAGAAGCAACTTGCTTTCACCTGGCAGATCCAACAGCATATTTTCACAGTCTCGCCTCAGGACTACACCACCTGTCCTGCTCTCTGTCACAACATAGTTCACAAAAGCCTTGGACGTTTTGACATTCCCTACAACATTCCGATGACTCACTAATTTGATGATTATGTTCATGAGACCTGATGAGCAGGAAGTAGCAAGTGCTTATGACACCTTAACAAGACATGTGAACCACAGGGTGGGAGATAAATGCCATGAAAATGCAGGGGTCTGTCTCCTCAGTGGTGAAGTTGCTGTGCAGTGCAGACACCTCCTGCAAAGCGAAAGACAGGTTGCTGCCCATTTCACGGTCTGCCAATAAAAGGAGGCACAACACGTGATAGGCCGTTTTGGATTTTGGAGAAAACATATTTGCACGTCCAGCCTTTTCCTTTGTAAGCTTTCAGATTTGGATGGGTAACAGCAGGAGAAGGGAGATCATCTGGCTGCAGGGAGCTGTGGATATGGTGTCACTTGGTGACTGAATTCAGTCGATCCCTGTCCCACATCTCTTTGCTGCCCTTCACACATTCCAGTCACTGAAGGTGGAGCCTGTGGTGGCAGACGCTGTCACGCCTGGCACCACATCCCTGTAGCACATCTCTGAGTTTGCCTGCAGCATCGCTTCTGTCTATACGGACAGGTTCCTACCTCAGCGACCTGCTCCGCTGTTGGGAGGCTTTCTCCTATGCCACAGAGCATTGCTCAGCACGCAGGGCAGCCTGCAGGGCCTGGGGAGTTAACGCCTCCAGGGGCAGCCCTCAGCCAGTGACGGATGGACGTTGTCGCCTAAGTATTCTAGCTCCCTGCTCTCGCTGCGGGACGATTCTGAGGAGTGATGTCCACCCCCTGGGGACTTGCACTCCAGCTACCCACGGGAATCTTCACACTAACATTCTCTTTCTCCCTTTCTTTCCCATCTCACTCTGCCCACTCCCTCATTATGCTCTTTTGGGGGTCATCTTCCAAATAGACTACCTGTATACAAGTTTTTGTCTCAGGGTCTGCTTTTGGGACACTCCAAACTCAGACGCCTGCCAAGAGCTCTGTGTATAGACTGTGGCTTCCTCTGCTTTGCTTCCAGAGTGAACACCCTCTCCAGGGCTTTCTCCTTTGGTGAAGTCTTCTTTACATCTGAGGTGACCTCCTTCCTAGTCTCTTTGTTGTTGGCTTATTTCTTTTTTGCTCCTTTCTGTCACTTTATTGGCATGGAAAGAGGACAAGGAAGCACATAGCCTTGCTTATTTGGCCTTCAAAAGCCTGCCTTACCTCTTTAGCCTAATTTCTTGTTCTTTTGCCCCCAACCCCACATGGAGCCCTCAGATCTGTTTCCCTCTTTCCAGCCTTTGCATGTGCTCTCCCCTTGCCTGAATTTCATTCTCCTTGTGTGACTGACAAACTCCTGCTTTTTCCTCAAAAATCTGCTCAAATGTTAGCTCTTGTATTATATAGATTTCTCCTAATTCCTCTCCCTCTCTTCTCTCAGTTAATAATTATGAGTTCAGTGTTCACCTCCTTTACTTGCTTGTATGTTCTGCAAGGACAAGTGTCTACCTATTTGTTCTGTTTTTCTAAAAATGTTTATTTCAGTAGATTTGGGGGATACAAGCCCAATATATATAGATGTATATATTGTATAGAGGTGAAGTCTGGACTTTTAGTGTACCCGTCACCCAAATAGTGTACCTTGTATCCCATAGGTAGCTTTTCATTCCTCACTCATCCTCCTCTCTTTTGAGTTTTGAGTCTCCCATGTCCATTGTGTCACTCTGTGTGTCCTTGTGTAGTCATATTTTAGTTCCCATTTACAAGTGAGAATATGTACCATTTATTTTTCTGTCCCTGAGTCACTTCACTTAGGATAGTGGCCTCCAGTTCTATCCAAGTTGCTGCAAAAGACATTATTTCATTCTCTCCGTGGCTGAGTAGATTCCACGGTACAGATGCACCACATTTTCTTTATCTACTCATCGACTGATGGGCACTTAGGTTGATTCTTATCTTTGTGATTACAAATTGTGCTGCCTCCACTTATTTGTTTAGGATTGTATTCCCAGTCACTGGCACATAATAGGTGCTTGATAATGTTAGTTGAGAGGCCAAATGAATGCATTCCTTAAGGGTGAGGAAGCCGATTTAGATCGGCGTGTCAGCACCCAGGACAGATCCAGCACACAGGCTCGCCTCTCCAGAGGCTTGCAGGGGAGCCACTATCTCCAACCACCCTCGGGGCAAGTGCTCACAAGATAGATATTTGGAATAGTCAACGGGAGGCTGTGGTGGCAGTAGGGACATGAGCAAGAAGTCACGTTACCATTCTTTCCCAGTTTTTGTCTTTTGTAACCTTGAAATTGTTGCTAGGAGTTGATGTTGTGACGTCTCAGTCTCCAATCATCCCTCCACCAGAGGCCATGTGGTGTGCAGGTGGACAGCTGCAGTGAACCTGGGGTTAAAACTCCTGGCTCTGTCACTTGCTAGTTTTGTAATTTTGGGGCAAGTTACTCAAACTCTTTTTGTCATAGTTTCCTCATCTGTTGTAAAGATGAAGTGAATATATATGTTATATATTATGTGTTTATTAGGTATTATTTATTACATATGTCTATTGTGTATAATCACCTTGAACCCATGTTAGGGCACATACTAAGCCCTATGTGTTAGCCATCGTTAATATAGTAATTGCCAGGTACTAGTGCAAGATTTTAGGAGGTCCAATGGCATGCCCAAAGCCACTGAGGAAGTCTTGGCTGGGTCTAGCATGATAAGCTACATATGCTAAGATTCAAGGACCATTTAAAAAATCTTAGCTGCCCGATGCATGCAGCAACTGGCTGTATTTTGATCAGGAAGAGGACTTGTCACAGACTCAGAGATATGCCTAGATCCAAGGGACAGGATGAGATGATTCAGAAAATCTGTTGGATTTCCGTCACTGGAGTTCTGATATGTGTTTGGCATCAACAAGTGGATGTCTTCCAAAGGACTCACTCAAGCCAAATGTTTTTGTCTCTATGGACACATGAATGCAAAAAGGAATGGAGCCTTAGAAAAATCGATCCTTTGATATTGAAAATACCAGCATGTTTCCTTTGGTTATTGATATATCACATTGTATTACAAAGTAGATCTCAAAATATTTCTTCACTGGTGATAACATTGTTTAAATGGAAATAAAGATGATTAATGTCAAAAGATCCAAGATTTTCTGGTTAGGTCATGGGCTTATGATGAGGATACTTGGATTTCATATAGTTCAAGTCTGTCCCTGGACCCCTCTGGACTATTTATGTCCAGTTTGTTTAGGAGTTTTCTCAGATAGGTTTTGTTGTCTCCATATTTTAGGTTGAAGGGTGGGGCCAAGGAATTAAACCAGAGTCAAATTATTAGAGGATAATTTTATTTCTGTAATAGCAGCAGGTGGAAATATTGGAGAAGTCTGGATGCATCTGTTAGTGACTCTTTCTCAGAAAACTAGTTATTGCTGCAATTCATGTATCTATTGTCTTATTATATATTTTTTGTTTTAATTATTTAGTGGTTGCTGTAGGGTTTACAATGTACACCTTATTACACTCTCCTGCAAATAACATACCACTTCATGAATAACGTAAGAACCTTACAACAGTTTGCTTTCATTTTCTCTGCCATCTTTTGTGCTGTTATTGTCATACTTTTTTACATGTGTTATAAATCCTAAATATATTGTTATTGTTTACTTTATATCGTATAATAAATTATCTTATAAAAAGTACAAAATACACAACGTATTTTATATTCACTCACATATTTACCATCTGTTGCTCTTTATTCTTTTGTGTAATTCTGAGTTTCCATCTGGAATAATTTTCCTTCAGCCTGAAGAATTTCCTATAACATTTCTTTTACAGTGTAGATCTGCTAGCAACAAGTTTTCTAAGCTTTCATTTTTCTGAAAATGTCTTTATTTCACCTACTTTTTTGGGAGGGGGCAATAACAGTGTACATCCATAGAAATGTGTACATCCATAGAATAAAATATATGTAATTGTTTAAGATACTGCAGAAGTATATTTAAATTCATTTGTTGTGCATTAGGTAGAAAACAGCGGTTTATGAAGCTGGATATATAGTATAATGCTATTTTTCTATAAAAATTATATATGTATAATTAATTATAGAAAAATCTTGGGACATTGTACATGGGAATGTAAGCAGTGGCATATCAGTGTACTTCCTTTTGCTTATTGGAATTTTTTGAATTTTCTAAAATGAACTTCTATCACTTTTATCATAAGAAAGTCTAATTTGTTTGTTTTAGCCTATGTTGTTTTTTTCTTCTAATCTTT